GAAGGTGAACGCTCTTATAACAAATGAACTGCCCTACCGACCATACGAAGACCCAATTATTGAAGACCCAACCCAAGATTTCCCCACACACAGACTAGCCGATGTAGATCCAAGAGGGAATACCCCAATTGAAATTGAACTAGGCGGCGATACCTACACGGCCATTAGTCGAGAGGGCAAATTTTTTACTGGGCTTGGAGATGTTTATGCCTGCGAAACAGCATTGGGCTTTGTACTCTCCGGGCCAATCAAGAATATGCCAATTAATTAGAGAGGAAGGTCTTCACTGAGTCACGGGGGCGGAGAATGTATGGTCTGGTACCATACTTATGAGAGCCACTGTATATTGTTTTGCAAAAATTGGCTAGCGGTACCCAATATTTACAAATAAATATGTACACACATACATACATACATTCGATACCGCTAGCCAAAACCCTTTGCTGCCTTCCAATAACATTGGAAAACATAAGTAGGCTTTAAAAAGCATAGCGGGCAGCAAAGGAGTTAGTTCTCGTTCGGCATTACATGCAACAGCATTCCCCCCGTGATCGTGACACAAATTACAAAACATATACAAAAAACAAGTGATAACATTCAGTTTACAAAAATACAAATTTTGAATTTAAATAAAACCAAAGTGACATTGTAACAAATACTCTACAAATTGAACTACACATCACACAAAAAATACATTTTTGTAACAACATTTTATACACTCAACAAAAAATTGTGAACTTATCATTAAACAAAACAATTGTACAAACGCATAAATTACAAAAATTGGAAATTTATACAAAAAGAATTACACACAAATGAAATGAAAATCTAAAAAAAAATTGTTAAATACAAAAATTGTACATATACACAAATTACAAAATCACATTTAAAATACAATAACACACTACACATATACATATATTGAACACAAATGAATTTCAATAAAATTACAAAACACAAAAAACAAATCTTATAAATAACAAGGCAAAAACAAAAAAACGGTTTGTACACAATAAACAAAGCTCTTTCTAGATTGTGTTATATTTCTTTTTTAATAAGTATAAGCTCTGATTTTTGTGATTTTCTATATTATTTTAAATTTTTTTAGTTTTAATTTTAGCTACAAGGATTTTCTTCAATATGGATTTTAAGCAAATTTTAGAAAAAAAAACGTCGTGCATTTGGTTTAGGAAATGATCAATTATTCGAAATTTTGAATATCTTTCATCTGTCAATGTCAGTTTTCTCTTATATAACATATGAGTTTATATATGCATTGTTAATATAATAATAAAATATAATAATAATAAAACTTTACAATTCCCTCCAGCAATTTGTGCAAAAATTATGAAAATCGGTAAAGTGTGCGCTGAGTTATTTGCATTTGAATTCAACGATGTTCTGAAAACCTCCCTACTATTCGATGCTGGGCACCTGTTAGCTAAAAATCCAAAATCACACAAAAATTCATTTTTACAAACACCAATTTTTCTTCTAACATAATGGCTGCTGATTTGTAAAGAAAACTAAAGCATACTTTTAGGCTGAACATAGTCTGTATGTAGGCCAGCCACGACAACTCTCGAAGGAAGCAACCGATTTCAACCAAACTTTACAAATAGTTATATTTTTAACAATCTTAGATAAAGTCCGAAGCTCGAAGCATCGGTCCACTCCTTCGGGTACCAGCTCCCCCACAAAGTGTCTAGATTTGCAATTTTAATAAAGGAATTCAAAAATACGCCCGTTGATAAAACTACTACATCATTTTTATAAATAAAACCAATAAGAAAAGTAGTAAAGTCGGACTGGACCGACTATAAGATACCCATCACCACTTTGGGTATATTCTACATAGTATGTATCTCTACATACATACGTCGCCTTTTCGAAAAAAAAACATGAATATTAAATTGAACGAACTTAAATATGTGATATTTATCCATAAGTGAACCGTCTAACATCAAACCATACACATGCCTCTCTCAAACCTATTCTAAATTGCATTTCATTCGGGCAGATTTGGAGTCCTTTACGAACAATAGTACAATTAATATATCAATTATAGCAATCGGACAATCATTAGAAGTTTGATGCAACATTTATCCTAAAACCGGACAAAAATATATATCCAAATCTGAACCGATTTTCACAAAATTTGACACACATAATTCTAGACTAAATGGAGTACGCTATGCCAAATTTCGTGCAAATCGAAAGATATATAGGGGCCTTGGTACACCATTTACATAAAGTCGGACGAAAATCTGAACCGATTTACCTGAAATTTTACAGCCATCATTCTAGACTTAATCCATTACCCTGTGCCCAATTTCGTGCAAATCGAAAGATATATAGGGACTTTGGTGCACCATTTACATTACATCGAACGAAAATATATATGGGAGCTATATCTAAGTCTGAACCGATTTTCAGGAAACTTAACACACATCATTCTAGACCTAATTCATTACGCTGTGCCAAATTTCGTACAAATCGAGAGATATATAGAGACTTTGGTGGACCATTTACATTAAATCGGGCGAAAATATATATATGGGAGCTATATCTAAATCTGAACCGATTTTCAGGAAACTTAACACACATAACTCTAGACTTAATTTAGTACGCTATGCCAAATTTCGTGCAAATCGAATGATATATGTGGAGTTTGGTGCAACATTTACAATTAATCGGACGAAAATATATATGGAAGCTGTATGTAAATCTGAACAGATTTTTTTCCATTTTCAATAGGGTTCGTCCTTGGGTCAAAAAGATGAGATGTGCCAAATTTCATCCAAATCGTATCCCAACTGCGACCTGTACTTGGTTTACAATTTAAGATGGACAGACAGACGGGCGGACATGCATAAATCGACTCAGAAAGTGATTCAAGAACCCAAAATGCCGAAAATTTGGGGTGTGCCCTTAAATGGGGGCTACCCGAAAAATGGGCCTATATTTTCAATTTGTAGTGGAGAAATTTTACTGCCTTATAAGAACTCAAAGTGCTAAATTACAGCCAATTCGGGTGAAAAAATGCGGGGGTACCGTTATATGGGGGCTACCAGTAAAAGTGGACCTATATTCATAATTTTTGGGGAGCATTTTGTACCCAATAAGAACCCGTTTGTACCAAATTTCAGCGAATTCAGTTGAAAAAAACGCGCTTAAGAACCCCAAAACACCGGAAATTGAGGGTATCCCTACATAGGGGATACCCGAAAAAATAGGCCTATATTTATAATTTTTTGTGGAGACATTTGCTACCTAATAAGAACGAATTCAGTCAAAAAATACGCCCTAACCCTTAAGAATAATTAAAATTGGGTATACGGATATTTTTGGGGCGACCAGAAAAAGTGGACCTATATTCATAATTTTTGGTGGAAACAGTTGATATCCAATAAGAACCCAAGGTACCAATTTTCGGAATTTGGTTGAAAATGCACTCAAAAACCCCAAAATACCAAAAATTGAGGGGTCCATCTTCGAACTTGACCTACTTGCAGACAAAAGACGACTTTATGTAAATTTTTTGGCTATCTATCTCAATTAGTTCAGAGGCTAGAGTGATTATAAAAAACAGAGGACTGACAGACGGACATGGCTAAATCGTCAATTTTACACGCTGATCAAGAATATATATACTTTATAGTGTCGGAAATGATTATTTCGATGAGTTACAAACGGAAAAACAAAATCAATATACCCTCCATACTATGGAGAGTCCGTAAAAAATAATCATTTTCACAATACATTTAATTTTTTTAATTTGTTTTTTTTTTTTTATTTATAAGACATTCATGTTAAGTTTTTTTATTATATATATCAATACACATGTCTGTAATAATTTCTTAATTTATTTAAAAAAAAACTAAAAATTATTAAAACAAACAAAAAATAATAATAATGTACTTAGAGTAACAAAACTTATTTATTAATTTTTAATAATAATAATAATAATTTTAATAAAAAAATATATATATTTATAAACATAAAATGTTAATGAAGGGTTCGGCTTCGTTAATGAATTTCGGTGTTTTTTTTCAATAATAATTTGTTAAGTAAATTATTCAAAATCATGGTAATAAAAAATTAAACACCAAAAAGGTTACTAAGGATTTTGTTAAATTGTTCTCAAAGAAAAATTCGTTAACAACAACAAGAAAAAAAATTAAGAAATTATTTTTAATTAAATTAATTATTTTTTAATTAATAAAGAAAATAATTATGTATTTTAAAATTTTATTTTGAATTAATAAAAATAATTAAATATGTTGAATTGATTTTATAAAAAAAATATTAGTAATTTTTTAATAGTTAACATTTTTTATTAAAAAATAATTAATAATTAAAACAAATAATAGTTTATTAAAAAATAATTATTAAAGAAATTATTAATTAATAATTTTTTTATAAAATAATTATCTCAATTAAAATTTCCTAACAATTTTTTATTAATTTAATTATTTTTATTATTAAAAAATATTTTTTTTTATTAATTTCTCTTTCTTTAATTAAAAATAATTCCTTAATTTTTTTCCTTTTGCCATGAAATTAGTTTCCAATCAAAACACATTTAATAAAAATTTGAATAGAGGAGGAGGGTTTGTTGTTAATTTTTCTTTTGTAATCATTTCTTTGTTTTATTAAATAAAATATTTTGTTTTCCTTAATTTTTTAATTTTTTTTTTGTTAATTATTTAAATCTTAATATTAAGTATTAGTTTATAATAGTTTTTTGGCCATTTACTGATTTTCATATATATATTTTCAAAATCTTGCATTTTTCTCTATATTACAAATCAAGCTTCGGTTTGCAGTTAAAACTTTCTAAGCTTTGTTTGGGGTTAGTTTGTTGGATTGCTAAAATTCTCAGAGAGCTTTAAGCTATAAGAGCTACTTAGAGGGTGTTGTTACGGGGGAGGGGGTGCTAATTTTAAATTTTTTTAATGAGTATTTAAATTTTTAAAAATTCTGTTTCTCATTTTTTGAAATCTATTTTAAAGCCTCCTTGGCTCTTTGCTCCCATTCGGCCCGACGCTGATGTATGCCCTTAAATTCTCCCACTGTGGCTGATCGTTCGATGGTCTTACTGATGAGAGGATAAGTTGTGGTGCTGCTGTTGCTGCAACCATTCGTCGTCGTCGATTCGGTTTTCGTTTCATTGAGTTTCGTGCTGGGCCTTTCCAGGGTTGTGGATTTGCCGGGGGAGGAGATACTGTTGTTGTTATTGCTGTTTGGCATGGAGACATGCCTAAACCCAGCAATTTTAATGGGTGGTAAAAAGTTCTTGCTGTTGTTGTTGTTCTGTTGATTTTGATTTACAATACTGGGTGAGGTGATCTGCTGCTGTGGCTGATGATTGTTGTTCAGGCTCAAACCTGAAGACGATATTTTGTGTGAGTTTTGCCTGAAATCCGCCAAGGAATTCCTTTGATTGTTAATCACTGTGGAGGTGTTATTGGAGGAGATTTTCGACTCGGGTTCCAATTTACTCAACTTATCCAATTTCTCTTCACTGGCGGATTGATTTTCCTTATCACTGTCCACACTGGGATTGTTGTTGTTGTTGCTGGAGGAGGTGGAACAGGCCGAGGTGTTATTGCTACCCAATGAAAATTTCTTATTAGAAAGGGAGGTGGGAGGTGTATTACTGCCATTATTCAACATTTTATCCAAATCTTCATCCTTAATTTTCAGCGACCTCCTAGCAAAGACCTTCATCAGTTCCGGTGTGGGATCTGTGGACTTGTGGCTCAAATTTGAACAGCTGTTGTTGTTGCTGCTACTCAACGAACTGCCACCATTCAACGAAAGATGTGATGCGGAGGAGGCAAAGGATTTCTTACGCAAAATCACCCCATTTTCCATGGAGGTGGGAGAGCAGGAGGTGGTGGTCTCCCTTTCCTCCATGGATTCGGATTTAATCACAGTTTTGCGGGCCAACTCCTCATTGATGGAACGCTTTCTTTCATATTTCAATTCTTCGACTTTCTTTTCCAACTTTGTTTTCTCCTCCGACATGAAGAGACGTCGACGTTCCTGCAGCGAAAGGGAATTTGTATTGGTTTCCGGAGATTTGATCTCAGGCATTTTGAATTGGGACTCCATATCGGCCTTGCAATCCTTTTCATTAATGGTAGGGGTGGGTGGTGTGGTGGGTGTTGCGGGGAAATTCACACTTGGGGAATTGTTGATGAGAACATTTGATATGGCCATGCCACAGGGGGTGGTCGTCTTCTTGATGGGACTCTTGGGTGGCAGACCCAACTGTAATTTGGCTTGTTTATTAATGGCCTCATGATAGACCAAGGGGAAACGTTTCTCCATTTCTGGAGAGGAACGTTCATTGATATCCACACTTTCCGAACTCAAACGGCGGAAATCATCTTCCTTATCGGGAGTGGATTCCCTTGACACCCCTTGACTTGTAGTCTCCTTGACATTTTTCGCCAACACCACATGGGTCTTGGAGGTACGCATAGGATCCACACGATTCAATTGGATTTTCATAAATTCCGGTACAGAGGATTTTTGATTTTCTGTGGAATCCGCCACCACACTTGAGGAACGCCTAGTAGAGTTACTTCTAAAACCATTGGCTGGTTTGCTAACCGAAGGATTTGGAGCCGATTTCCTTTCCTGATCCAATTGACCACTGCTGGAACTTGTGGTGAAATTCAGATTTTGTTTAGGCAAAACCTTTTCCCTTAGCGTAACATTGGCCGTACTGGGGGAATTCAGGACATTATCCTCACTCAGGGATTTCTCCTTTTTCAAGGCCAAAACGGAGGGTCGGACCGGTTTGACGATTTCCATTTTTTCCGACTGCTCACAGAAATTGGCGGATTTGCGTATAACACTTATGAAGGGCGAGGTGACCATCATATCGATGTTATTCTCCGCCTCTTGGATGTGGCGACTTGAGGTCGTAGAGGTTGTGGAGGGTGAGGTCACCGAGACTTTGGAGACCTTTTCAAAATATGACTCCTCTTGTTTGCTTTCACGCGATTCGAACTCCTTGTAATAGGGTACCCTCAAATTCAAACTCAAATCCGGTAGACTGGGCATATTATTATGGACTGGGGTAATGCTGGGCTTTTCCTCACCATAGGCCCGGAAACTTTTGGATTTTTCCACAGATTTGCGTGATTTCTGCTCATAGATTTGGGCCCGCACGGGGGCACAGAGCTCTAATTCCTCCCCATCCCCGATATCCTGGGTTTCCATGGAACCACTATTTTGTTGATTTAACGAGGTGGTACTGGACACATTCGAATTACGACCAAAGGACTCATTCGATTTGGATATTTTTTGTTGGAAAGCCGAAAGGCCTACAATTTTGGGTTTCTTTTCGAAATGATGATCGGCCTTAGAGGGAGAAATAACCATGGGACTCGCCTGCTGCTGTTGCTGCTGCTTGGTAATCTCCCGAATAATGGAGGTGGATTGGAACACCTCATTGGCGGAGGATTTACTTAGAATCGATTCACGTGAACCCATTTGTTCAGAGGCCTTTAGATTTTCATTGCTAATATTTTGGGGCATGTAACGTTGCCGAGAGGCTGGTCCAGTTTTGGGTTTGACATTCACCACTTCCTCCACTATTTTTTCTTCCTTAATGGTTTCATGATGCTGACTACTTGAAATGGGACTAAAGTTTGCAGTCCTGCTGTCACTTATGGTCTCCAATTTTTTCTGCTCGCGGCTATGCTCTTCCACTTTGCTGATCTTGACCGGTGAACTGATATAGGAGAATTCACTTTGGGTTACATCCTGGACAAAGGAGGAGGATGACGAGGAGGAGGATGTATATGCGTTAGAGGCCTTGGCTTCCGTATGATTGGAATTTCCAATTTGTAATTTCTTTGGTTCATTAGGTTTGCTGGCCGCATCCACCTGCTCCACATCATCACCAGCATTTGCCTTGGCAATGGAACGTTTCGAATTGCGATGCATTAAACGTCTCAAGAAGCCAGATTCCTCGACAATAGGTTCTTCAGATTTCACGGACTTCTTTTCCTCCATTACCACCGAAGAAGCCACAGCAGAGGTGGAAGAGGAGGAGGTGGTGGTCGTGGAAGCAGTTTCTTTGCCTTCAAACAATGACGAGGCCTTCGAAGACAATGAACGAAAACCGAATAGATTATTCGTTGAGCTCGAACTCGTGGTCGTAGTTTGTTGTTGTTGATTTGATGTTGTTGATGTTGTTGCAGTTTTAGTTTTTGTTGTTGCCATAGCTGAGGATTTGGTTGTTGTTGTTGATTCCTTATAGGCAGTGTGTAGTTGTTGTTCTTCCATAATTTTGGCAGGATTAACACCCGGTGGGAGAGAACGTGTCTTGGCTTTGTTATCCAAATCTGAAGGGGAGAGATTAGAAGGATTAGAAATGGATTCTAAATGAATAGGATTTGACTTACCTTTAATATCCAATAACTTTTTGTTGGTCAATTTCGATAGCTCCTCATTGGCCTCGGGTATGGAAGTCTGGAAAAAAAAGAGAAAATTAATAAAAATACGAAAAAATGTCTGCAGGACTATTTAAAATTTATTTTCTAAGGTCTACCAGAAGGCGTGGATTTTTTAACACCTAGGATAGGCTCTGGAAAATATTGATTAAAACTCCACGCCTTAGAGTAGGCTCTGGAAAATATTGATTAAAACTCCACGCCTTAGAGTAGGCTCTGGAAAATATTGTCTAAAAACCCAAGCCTTAGTGTAGGCTCTGGAAAATATTGATTAAAAATCCACGCCTTAGAGTAGGCTCTGGAAAATATTGATTAAAAATCGACGCCTTAGAGTAGGCTCTGGAAAATGTTTTGTTTAAAAATCCACGCCTTAGTGTAGGCTCTGGAAAATATTTTTATTTTTAAAAATACATTTGTATCCTCTTCTCCACTCACCTCCAATGTCCTTCTATGCTGACGGCTAGGGCCACCCTTCTTCTTAGCCGGTCGAATTGCCATTTTATGCTTGGCAGCCGAATGTGACAGACGTTGCCAGTCGGAAGAAAATAAATCCACTTCATCTCCACCACTTAACAGTGAGGAACTTTCACGATGCCGCAAAATATCCGATGACATTGAAATGCTCGACATTGTCGATGATCGTGAATATCTTGAACGTTCTTGTACGATTTCTGTTGTTGATGATGTTGAATTGTTGGCTGTGGAGGTGACCATCATTTCTTCACCCTCAACACTGCTATTCATGCTCAACAGGCTCAAGGAAGAATTTTCACTTTGTTTCTCCATTGATGATTGTTTGTGGTGGGTGCGCAACGATGAAGACGAGGCCATGCCGCCACCTCCAATACCGCCACCAATTCCATTGTTGCTATTGCCGCCGCCAGTTTTGGCCACAACACGTCGCTGTGGCGAGGCTGGACTGCGTGGCAAGCCCAAATCTTCATCGGAGGCATCGGGACGATTGCGTCGTTTGCGTAAGACATCAGCAAGTTCGGCCTGTAAATAAAAAGAGAGAAAGAGAGGGATTAGTAAAATTTATAAAAAAAAATCTGGAGGGTTATGAGGGGTAAAATTTTATATGGGATTTTTATTTGTGGGTAGAGGAAGGGTTTTATTTTTACTACCCAAGTCTTCCATCGAAACACAAAGCGTGCCCGAAAACAACTTCTGCCACCACCAGCGCCGCCAGCAACACCATTGGCGGCTGCTGTGGCAGCGGCTGCACTTGCTCCGGTCCTGGTATCTCCCGTCATGGGATTTATTTTCATTTTAAATGGATTTTGTTTAAAATCGAGAATTTTCATGTTGCCGGTTTGTTTTTTTTTTTCTAATCAGGGTCAGAAGGAAAAAGAAGCATTGAAGTCGAATCCTTATAGGAAAATTTAAGAAGTCGTTCAATGTGTTGCCAATTTTTATATAGTATTTAAAAAAATCCACGCCTTAGGAAAGTCTTTAAAAATATTTTTTTAAAATCCACGCCTTAGGATAGGCTTTAAAATGGATAGACCTTAAAATAATTTTTAACAAATCCTCGCCTTCAGATAGACCTTAAAAATCCAAGCCTTAGGATAGAGCTTAAAAATAATTTTTAACAAATTCGCGCCTTAGGATAGACCTTAAAAAATAATTTTTAACATATCCGCGCCTTAGGATAGGCCTTAAAAAATAATTTTTAACAAGTCCACGCCTTAGGATAGACCTTAAAAAATAATTTTTAACAAATCTACGCCTTTGGATAGACCTTAAAAAATATTTTTAAGAAATCCACGCCTTATGATAGACCTTAAAAATAATTTTTAAAAAATCCAAGCCTTAAGATAGACCTTAAGAATCCAAGCCTTAGGATAGACCTTAAAAATAATTTTTAACAAATCCGCGCCTTAGGATAGACATTAAAAAATAATTTTTAAAAAATCCACGCCTTAGGATAGACCTTAAAAATAATTTTTAACAAATCCACGCCTTAGGATAGACCTTAAAAAATAATTTTTAACAAGTCCACGCCTTAGGATAGACCTTAAAAATAAGTTTTAAAAAATCCACGCCTTAAGAATCCAAGCCTTAGGATAGACCTTAAAAAATAATTTTTAACAAGTCCATGCCTTAAGATAGACCCTAAAAATAATTTTTAACAAATCCGCGGCTTAGGATAGACCTTAAAAAATAATTTTTACAAAATCTACGCCTTAGGATAGACTTTTAAAAATTATTTTTTAAAAAATTCTCGCCTTAGGACCTTAGACCTTAAAAATATTTTTTTTAAATCCAACGATTTTATCCGATATATTTATTTCCATTTTCTAAGGTTCTGAATCATTATATATTCTGAAACAACCATAACACCTATGAGTATATTTGTGTGTTTGATGGCCCATCAATTGGCCATATTCCCAAAATCCTTTTGCAAAATTTGATACTACATACAACATAACCCAAGAAATTTTTACTGTGGATATACATAACCTTTACCACACACAATGATAAACCTATACAGCCCATATCCATAAAAAACCCGATAAATTTGATGATACACCACCAATTTTATAATCAATCCATTACCATGTCTTAATGATCACCAATATTCTAAGTATCCATCGCAAAAAATATTTATATACAATCTAATTGATCTAAATATGATGTCAAAATAATTCTGAAAATAACAAATTTAT